ACACACAGACTCTGCTGAGTCCGTACACACACACACATACTCTGCTGAGTCCGTACACACACACACAGACTCTGTTGAGTCCGTACACACACACACAGACTCTGCTGAGTCCGTACACACACACACACACACAGACTCTGCTGAGTCCGTACACACACACAGACTCTGCTGAGTCCGTACACACACACAGACTCTGCTGAGTCCGTACACACACAGAGACTCTGCTGAATCCATACACACACACACACAGACTGCGGAGTCCATACACACAGACTGCTGAGTCCATACACACACACACAGACTGCTGAGTCCATACAGGTGTGCATGGGGATAGTGTATGTGTGTAGAGTATGTGTATGGGGGGCAGGGCAATGTGTGTGTATGGGGGGGCAGTATGGGGGACAGTGTGTGTGTATGGGAGGCTGTATGGGGGGCTGTATGTAGTGTAGTGCGTTTAGACTGTGGGGCAGTGTGTGTGTATGGGAGGCTGTATGGGGGCAGTGTGTGTGTATGGGAGGCTGTATGGGGGACAGTGTGTGTCTATGGGGGGGCAGTATGGGGACAGTGTGTGTGTATGGGGGGGCTGTATGGGGGCAGTGTGTGTGTATGGGGGCATGGGGGCAGTGTGTGTGTATGGGGGCAATGTGTGTGTATGGGGGGCAGTGTCTGTGTATGGGGGCAGTGTGTGTCTATGGAGAGCAGTATGGGGGGCAATGTGTGTCTATGGGGAGCAGTATGGGGGGCAATGTGTGTGTATGGGGGGACTGTATGGGGGGCAGTGTGTGCCTATGGGGGGCAGTGTGTGTGTGTGTATGGGGGGCAATGTGTGTGTATAGGGCAGTATGGGGGGCAATGTGTGTGTGTGAACACCCCCTCCAGCCTACCTGTCACTGGAGTCTGTTGCTGGGGGTCAGGCAGCCATATTCTGCAGCAGCATGGGCTGCTGCTTTACGGCGGGGGCGGGGCTTATCGGCGGGAGGCGGGGCTTCATTTGGGGGCGGGGCCTGTGCCGGGGAGCCAATCAGTGCTCCCTCCGGCCACAGACAGCCCCCAGCAGCTCTCTCCTGACTTCCCTCGGGCTGTAGCAGGCTGTTACAGTCTGAGGGAAGCAGATGGCCAGCTAGTTGCCAGCATTTGGGGGGGCCCAAGGGGGGGCACAGCATGATGTAGGGGGGGCCATGGCCCCCTCTGGCCCCCCCCTAGCGACGCCACTGGCAGTAAAGTCCAATTAAACACCCCCTTACTGCTGATTTGCCTAGTAACAGCAGGAAAGTCCAAACTCATCACCCCTCTTTTACCACCCTCTCTATACATTAAGACCAGGTGTAACTATCTGATTGGATAAATAATGAAACTACGCCCTGTTAAAGAACATAATATAACCTGTGATATGCAATTAAATCTTTGGAGAAGTTTCTGTGAACAGCGTGTGTCTGTGTCAGTTCATTGTGGCCTCTTCCCAGCGCTGCAAAGAGATTGCAGGACAAACAAGAGATTGCTAAATTACACAGAAGTCCATGGCAAAGAAGAGCTCAATTATTTAAAGAGGTCTCATTTTATTCTTACAGGCATGCATGCTGAAGAGCTCTCACATGGGAGGAATGCTCAGTGTTTCTTTTACATGGCAAAGCTCTGCGTTTGGCACTTGGCCAGTAAAGGGTGTTGTGCATGTGTGGGAAGGCTGTGCTGGTGTATGTGGTTGGAGGCTAGTTGTGGGATTGAGAGTGTATAGAGGTGAGTGTTTTTAGTATATTATGTGTAACTGTGTCTGTTTGTGGTGTATTATGTGTGGCTAGGTACTGTAGTGCAGTGGTCTTCAATTGGTGGTCCGTGGACCGGCGTTGGTCCACAAGAATGTATTGCTGGCACTCGAAAGCTTTCACCTGACAATACCGCTTAAGTGTAGCGGTATAGTCGGGTGAAAACTTTCGCGGACCGGCAATAAATTGCCGCAAAACATTTCCCCAGTGCTATGATAATAGCACCGGGAACCGTACCTCCATATAAATTAAATAGCACCAGGAACCGTACCTCCCTATAAATTATTCACTAAGCACTGAACCAAGATTCCCGATTCCAGGGTACTTGTCACGCTGTACCAGATTTGTTCCCTGATCCCCACCAGGAAATTGTCCCCAAAAAGTGTACTGCAAACATATTAATAGATGTAGAAACATAGAATGTGACGGCAGATAAGAACCATTCGGCCCATCTAGTCTGCCCAATTAAAATGTGCTTACACTGTGCTCGGCGTATTAAAACAAACTGTTTTCCTGGCACTGCAGGTCCCATCTCCCTCCCACCCCCATCCCAGGTTGCTGAAGGGGTTAAAATCCCTTCAGTGACTAACCTGTATCCAGCACCGATGTCCCTTGGTTCAGTGTCCGCCCACGCTCATCCCCCACTGACTTCATCCGGCGGGGGAGACCTATTGCACATGTGCGGCCGGCGACGGGGGAGACCTAATGCGCATACGCGGCAATGCCATGCACACGCATTAGACCTCCCCATAGGAAAGCATTGAAAATGCTTCCAATGCTTTTCTATGGGGATTTCAGCGATGCTGGAGGTTCTCACATAGCGTGAGGACGTCCAGCGATGCCATAGCACTAGTAGACAACAGGAGTTAACCCTGCAAGGTAAATATTGCAGTTTATGAAAACTGGAATAATTACACTTGCAGGGTTAAGGGTAGTGGGAGTTGGCACCCAGACCACTCCAATGGGCAGAAGTGGTCTGGGTGCCTGGAGTGTCCCTTTAAGTCACTGCAGAGAGAGAGAGAGAGAGAGACAACATATATAGAGTTACTACTGCACTTGGATTAAAGACCCTGGTCTTTGGCCACATAGCAATGCCCCTGGCCTCACAATTGACATTAGTGAAAATCAGTAATTTTATGGTAAATACCAACATTTTCCCAGAATATTGCAATTTGAAACCTTAGTAAAAGGCTCGATAGAATGTTCAATTTTAAACGTAAGTAATACTAAGTATATATTTTCTGTGCTTTCATCAATGTTAAATGATGTAATCTTATCATTAGTCAATGGAATCATAAGACGGATAAAAAGAACTATGACAAAGCATACCGAAAGTGATATATTAGTGACTGCACTTGAGTTAAAATGAAATAAAGTGGGAAAGATATAGGAGAATGCTGTATAAATTATCTCAAAATACATGACTAAAATATGTTTGATAGATCACAAACAAAAATTCAGTATAAAGCTAATGAAGAACCAGTACACTGGAAAATATATTATTTATCTCACAATGATCACTGCAAGATGCTATCATTCACAGTAGGAAACCACAGCTGAATTTATCCTTCCTGTTGATCAATATTTAAATATTTCCTTTGCTGTATTGAAATTTACATTATATCACTCTAAATATATTATTTTGTTCTGAATTTTGTAATGTAATTTTGCAGAACAAAAAAGTAAATCTACAAAAAAAAAAAAAAAATTGGCAAGAGGGTGTCTACATTAGTTGGTACATACTAACTGGTTAAGTTACTTAAATGATAGTTAACATTAGCACCCTACACATTTTAAACAAATATTTCCCATGATGCTCCTCCAGGATGGGAAATCAAAAATTCACATTGTACAAATTATATTCCAGACAAAATAGGTTTTCCCACTCCTTAGCTGTAAGTCAATTAAAGGGGAACTGTCACTTTTTTTGCAATTGGCACCACTGAAAAAAAACATTGTAAGTCATCTAAAACATGTGTTAATCTTTCTTTTTTTGTGAATCTCACTTTTCTTTTAAATTTACTTTAAAGGGACACTATAGTCACCAGAAAAACTACAGCTTAAAGTGGTTTGTATGGTGTCTATAGTCAGTCCCTGCAGGCATTTTCAGAGAAAAGGCAGTGTTTACATTAAAGTCTAGGGACACCTCCAGTGGCAGTCACTCAACCGGCTACACGAGGTGCTTCCTGGGTCAGTGCTGCACGCTCTGCATGGATACACTGAACATTCCTCATAGAGATGCATTGATGCAATGCATCTCTATAAGAATATGCTGATTGGCCAGGGTGACGTTTGGCTCTATCCCTGCCCCACCTCCTTCACTGAGATCATCAGAATTGACAAGCTCAGCCAATCCAATAATAAGGTAAGATTTAATGCTATCAAGTAAGGGGGCAAGGGGGGCTGGCACCTAAATAGTGTTGACATTATAAGGTCAGGAACAAACGTTTGTATTCCTGACCCTAAAGTAATCCTTTAAATATTTCACAATCCAAATCTGACAAAGACAGGGCAAATACTACAGTTGAGGAAGGAAAATATACAATTTGTTCAATTTCTCCTCTTCTCTGTATCTGATGCTGACTGACAGGAGCAGAGGACACAGCTTATAAAAATGATTGACAAGAAGCTAAAATGGAGACCTGAATGTTTTTTTTTCACACTTCACAAATAAATATTTGATATAGAGATACGTAAACAAAAAAATAAAAATACTGAGAATTTGGAAGAATTACTCCAACCAAAAAACATTTAAATAAAATACTGTTTTAATTAGAGTAACCCTTGCCCAATCTGTACAAATTTAACAGGTTGATCCGTATTTCACCAGTTTATTCCTTGCTTCCTCCCCAGGACACATTTCCTTTAGGACATGCTGTTTCTCTACTCCTTTATGCCCCACCTTCCTTCCCTGAGTTCTTTTTGCTTTTCTTAATCAGTTTACTGCCTCTCCCTCCCATTTTTTTCTCTTCGCAGAGGGGCAGATAGATACCATTTTACGGCCATGGTTTGATAGCTTCTACTGGTACGCAGTGGTATTTCTGTGACACACTTCCCATAACGCAATCGCCTTAAGGGTGCCAGACCTCTGCTCATCATGTAAATAAACATCCCTTTATTCAACTTTTCCTTCTGTTCACTTGTTTTTGTATTTGTACTGGAAATTGTGCAAACATTTTCATAGAACAAATAAAAAAAGGAAAAAAAGCGGAATTACTGACCATGCCAGATGGTAAACCACAGCTTTTTTTATAGTGTTCAATCCTTAATAAGAACATGGCCAGAAAACAGGTCTTCCACAGAATCTCATTAATCTAAAGAGGCTAGAATGAAGCGCATTTCAGACCTGCGTTTGTTTGCCATCTTCAGGGTGCCCAGCAACGAATCACTTAAATCCATCTCACATATGTATACTTTTAAGCAAAATGCTACAGATCCAATGGGAGTATTGTGTATAAGGTATATACAAAAGGCAGAGGAAATAGTACTCAAGCTCTGTGCCAGTCTAAATGAAGAACATGACAACATGAGAACAGTAAATATTATAATGAGTCTGCAGCAAATAAACATGATGATCAGAAAACAGGATGCCATGGCACATGTCTACTACACATGACAGCTACTTTAATTGCCTTTACATATAAATATTCCTTAAGCTGGTATATAAACTGGAAAAAAATATCTGGGATCTTGGGAAACTGTATGTCTGAATTGAAAAGACTTGCTCCATAAATTTTATCATGTAAGTCGAACCTAACTGTAAGATGCACAAATTTGTAAAGGAAACACAAATAAAATAAAATAGAAATAGTTTAGATCAGTGGTAGTCAACCTTTTTCTACCTACCGCTCACTAATGCATCTTTCTTGATGGAAAAATTCCCTTACCGCCCACCAGTTTTTGCGCAAGTGCGGAATATTGGTTAAGAAAGGAGGGTGTTTAAAAAAAAAAGAAAAAAAAAAAGAAATGTACATACATTTATCTTTTTATTTCTACTTTATGCATGTTTATAATGTTTTTAACTTTATAAAGTTTAATTAGAAAACAATAAAGTAAATTGAAATTAGCTTTACTATAGAGATTCTTGAGGCCGATGCTGCGAGACTAAATATTTGATATCTGGTTCGATTTTCGTAAGGAACAAACGAAGGTCTCCTCTTACTTGGTGATATTCAGACGGTTTCTCTGTTTGCTCATAATATGATTAACAGCACTAAAGCCTGATTCTACAAGATATGTGGTAGGTAAAGGTATCAATAAGTTGAACATCATTTTCAACGCAGGCATTTTTTTATTTTGCCAGAGTTTTTGGTATCCACCACTGCCAAAATTACATTTACTCTCTTCATCATATTTAAGTTCTAACATTTGCTGTAAAAGGATTTATCATCCAGTCATGCACTTTTAAGTTCAAAATATCTTGAAATCGTTTTTCCATATTCAATTTGAGTCCTTGAGGTAGCTACTGAACCTTTCAATATTCCCTGGTGTTACATCATTGTTTATAGAGGACAATTCAGGAAACTGATGAAATTCTCTCTTGAAAATATTATGACAGAGAAGATCAAGCTTTTCGATAACTAATGACACAATATTTTTGCAACTTATAAAAGTTATATTGGCTCCTTGAAGCTGCAAATTAATTTCATTAAATCTCTTGAAAATGTCTGCCAAATAAAAGGCATCATTCTTTACTTTTTTTTAACTGTTCATAGCGACCAGCCTCATTATCACTTTCAAAAAACTGTACAACACTATCAAATAATGCAACAAAACGAGACAAGCATGTACCCTTTGAGAGCCATCGAACTTCTGTATGTAAAAGTAATCTAATAAACTGCTCGTTATTGTCCTGGCACAGCTGTCGAAACATTCTATCACACTTGGCATTAGATTTAATCTTATTTACAGCTTTAATTATTATACTTAATGATGAATGGAGACTTGCACTTAAATGTTTTCCTACACTATGTTGTCTGTGCACAACGCAATGAATACCCACAACGTTTGGCACTTCTTCCTTAAAGTAAGCAACAAACCCACGATAGCGGCCTACCATTGATGGTTCTCCATCAGTAGCACATGCAACAATATTGTTCAAGGGTATATTATTTTTTGCAAAGTATGATTTCACAGCATTAAATATTGACAATCCTTTTGTATCTGTAATCAGATTGACAGTGAATAGCATTTCTTCTTGCAATGTATTGTTTTCATCAAGGTACCGTACATATGTCATCAGTAGAGCATTATCATCTGCAATGACAGACTCATCCAGCTGTATGGAAAATGAAGAAATTTGGAGAATACCTATAAGTTTATTTTCAACATTAGCTGCCATTTCGTCAATGCGTCTCTTTACTGTGTTATCGCTAAGGGGCAATGTTTTTAAAACTTCAGGTATATCCTGATGCATTAATGTTAAGATAAATTCTTTGATAGAGAGTATTATCAAAGTTTCTCCAATATTATGGCTTTTACCACTTTTTGCAATTAAGTGTGATATACGACAAGCTGCAGTTAATCCATCCTCATTCTTTGCATGTTATTTTTGAAATGATGCAGCTATTGTTGAATGATTTTGAAATCTTTTATAGATTTCTTGAAAATATTCAATGGGCTTATCTTTATCTTGCGAATGCTTTGTAGCAAGATGTTCTAGCAATCGACTTGGCTTCATTGCTTCATTAGATAATGTCCTGTGGCACAGTAAACACATTGGAAGCTGTTTGTTTGTAACAGATTCAATGAAACCCATCTTCAGATACTCTGGTAAATAGCCACAAGCATATTTCTTTTTTTCAGACATGGGTCCTAAATTTGTTTCACAATTTAAAACTACTTTTACTTTTGATCTGCACTCCACACAGTGCTTTTTCCCCTCCTCTTTTCCCTTTTATTACAAACACCAAAAACAATGCTGTATTAGCTGCCAATTTTTATTGTGTCACCATCAAAAGAAATTCCTTTTCCTGCCTTATTTTTCTTTACCTTCCTTATAGTATATCACTATATCAAGGATCTCTTTTTCCTTTTTTTTATTTTCTCCTTCTCCTTCCTTTACTTATTTTTTTCTTTTCTTTTATAAGATAACAAAACGTAATTTATGAGCCAGACTAAACACTGCTTACTCTCCTCCTTTATTTTATCCCCTTTTTCTATTTTTCTTCCCTTTTTTTGCTAATTTTTTTTTATCTTATCCTTTTTATCTCCTTTCTTTTACCTTCCTTAGGTACAAAAGTAAGGCTGAGTTAGTTAGCTCACTTGTTATTATCAGCCAACAACAATTCTCTCTTTCCCCTGCCTATAACATTTCTTTCTCCTATTTTGCAACTGCTCTGCTCCGTTTCTGCCTGCTTCTGCCTGTCCCTGCTATCAGTTTCCACTCCTCCCCTTCCTCTTCCCATGTGTTTGCGTGCATGCGCGCGTTAGTTCATTGATTTGTGTGCGTTCGCGCCCGCCCGCCCGTCCACTCGAATAAAAGGAGGTTTTAACCTCCGAAATCCCTACCACACACATTCTCGCGCATGTTGGTTGATTGATGTGTGTGCTCGTGCCCGCCCGCACCCGTGTATGTATATATTTGAGCATTTGCAGATGGACTGTTTATGTGCCTGGATATTCAGTATATATTTATGCATTAGCACTCCCCCCTTCTTACTGACCGTATATGGCTCTCATCATTTTATTATTGTGCATTGGTGATGGATAACTCCACCACTGACTGTATGACACAAGCAGAATGACTTTTTCCAAACCACTGTTTTTTTTTATATTTGCTTGTTCCAAAAGTGATACATCAACCAATGTCGTTCAACACATGGGAAGGGAAAATGGATATTGATATTGAGAAAGCTGTGGGTGACAACCTAAGTCACACCTCCCTGCATGTGGCTTAAATAGCCTTCCTAAATACTTCCTGTAAAGAGTCATCTAATGTTTACACTACCTTCTGTTTAATTTAGAATTGGCA